TATCCGTATTATGAACATATCCGTATTATGAACATATCCGTATTATGAACATATCCGTATTATGAACATATCCGTATTATGAACATATCCGTATTCTGAACATATCCGTATTATGAACATATCCGTATAATGAACATATCCGTATATTGAACACGTCCGTATTATGAACATATCCAAGAATCTTCACATGAAATACCCTCAAAGTCAAATGAGGTAGAGGAAGCAGAAAATATGTGTGAAGTTTCAAATGTATTATGTTTCATGTCATCTCATATGCCTTTTCATGTTTTTTGCTACAGAAACCACGTTTAATGGCAAGTTTAACTAACTGTAAAAATACGATTCGTTCAATGTCGGCTTCTGAGCCGACAACTTTTTGTTGGCCTTTTGCAGCTAGAAAAATCGAAGATCTAAATGTATTAGAAATAATAAATTACATGTGCAGACAACAAAGAGTTATGCTAATGCTAACTTATGCGCTTTAGTAAATCACGTACAAGAATATATATGTATGTACAAACTTTACTTGCTGACTTTTTATCGCATTCAGATGCAAACGATAAACATTGATTATTTCGAGCATGGATACATAAGAGCAGTTATCGAACCCAGCTAGTGAATAAACCTGTTTTACTCAATAATGAAATGCTTTCATCACAGCACTCGTTCCGAATAGCGCCATCTGCAGCAAGCTACGTTATGATGATCAGAGCAAATTTTCACTTTGTCTTTATGGACTTTAGTTAGCACCAAGTTCACTGTGCTTAAAAATACAAATGTCTTCACAACGCTCTGAAACGTGATTGTGAATTTTCTTCACAATAAAACATTAAATAAAAGGATAACGACACTTTCAAAATGGAAGTTTTGGAACAGAAAGTGCTTTTAAAACTATCAATGAAAAGTTCATGTTTATGCGCCTGAGAAAGAAACTCTGTCCTATGACCTTGCTATATTCCTTATTCAATGTTATTAAACTACAACCAAGATTTTCCGACTCTCAAACAGTCCGTAAACACTGCTGGATGGGGTTTATTCCGGTTCAGTGGTTCCAGCGGTGTCAGAATTATAACATCTGGCGTTCATTTTCTGGTTAAATATTGTATCTGGACGGCTCAAGGACGTCATGTGTTCCAATAATATCTAAACTGAGATCATTTATTTCGTTTCGATAACAGGGAAATTAGATGCAGAGAGAGGATCTTGGATACAACGGTTGGAGCTGTTGAGGTGTCCTCATTTGCGGGCTGTAACCCGACCTCGTGTGTCACTCGCAATTTTTGGTCTGTCAGGAAATTTCCCGAGTCTATTGGACTCCAGGTCCCTGCGACGCAACTGTTCAGTTACTATCTAATTTACGAGGTCGTATACAAACACTTAAAAGTGCTAGTGTCGCTAACAAATGGTGACGTTGTTGATGCTCACTTCATCGTAGTCGATGGGTTTGTGGGAGCACTCACTGGCGCGGCTTAACACGGGGCTGCGGGGGACATAAAACTTCAGATTAGTGATGTTAACAGGCGTGCGCTGTTACAAGGTTAGTAATGTTACAAGGTTGGTAATGCTGCGAGGTTAGTAATGTTACAAGGTTAGTAATGTCACAGGGTTAGTAATGTTACAAGGCTAGTAATGCTGAGAGGTTAATAATGTTACAAGGTTAGTAATGCTGCGAGGTTAGTAATGTTACAAGGTTAGTAATGTTACAAGGCTAATATGGTTAGTTATGTAACTATGCTAGTCGTGTTAGCAAAGTTAGCAGGTCCACGAAGGGTTATATGGGATCATGAGTGTGCGCCAGTCAGCCTGTCATCCTTAATACTCACAAAATGAGCTATCATTATCTTAATTACTAGCACATGTTTTAATTTTATCCAAATTAAAATGATAAGAATGTCATGCAAACTACTGAGACGTCTAGCCACGCTAACGAGAACACATCGTCTAATGTGGCCCTGCGAAGAAGTCTCAGGCTGCATGCAGAGCTTTTGTTTGGTACGAGTCAGCTCTTCGTTTTCCATGTCATGCAATTAGTGTTTATATTAATTTATTTATCATATTTTTTTGTATTTTGCATTTTGATACGATAGTATCAAATACAATATAGTAGTAAAATCTAGTAAGTATATATATATAGTAAAAGTATATAGTATAGTAAAATATATGCTAGTATTTTGTGAAACGATAGGATTATCTTGATGTTTATTTGTGTTATTTCGTTATTCTAGAGGGACACTGTGAAGTCCACATCCTCTCTTGTTCCTTGCATCTTCAGAAAGGCTCATGGAGAAAGACAATTAGTCAGTACCTCAGTCAACACTTCGTTTGTTGCCTACGCTGGTTGATTTTATGTAAAAGTAAAGAAAATTTATGCATTGAACAGAAGATAAAATTCTTAAAACCTTGATAAATTGACCACTTTGAGTTATATTGTTTTTCCCTGATATTGTTTAATTAAAAATTATGAAATTACCTCTTATAACTTATTTTACTTAACAATAAAAATCTCACTTTTCAAACATTTTCAATGAAACAGCTTTAGATGCAAATAACATGTAACTTTAATTAAACTTTAACACTGTTGTAAAAGTTTAATGCATGAATTAGGGGATTAATGTACGATAAATTAGCGGTAAGTATCATCACATCATAAATAAAGAACTTTAACACTTAAGGCCTAATGCAGCGTAATGAACAGCGCAAACTTGTATTATCTCAAAATATAAGAACAAACCAGGTTGACGGTCCAAAAAGTCCAATATTTTCTGAATTTTTTCATGCTGAGACACTCGCAAAATAGATTTTTAGGTTTAAAGTTGAATCAATTAGACTGAAAAGTGACGTTCATTTTTCGTAAAAAAAAATTCGAAGAAAACAGGAAAAACCACGGCTTTGGAAGCAAATAAGTATTCACACAGCCTTATATGAAAGCAGTATATTATATTCGGAAACATTTAGTTTTAATTAAATTTTTGACTACATAGAACAAATTGCGGTCGGATTTGTTAGACGCAACATCAGCCCAAACAAATTAGCCATAATCTCGCCGCTGCATTTTTAAATCTGCACGAGAGGCCTGCCTCGGCGCCCAGCTCGTTGCTGCCTCATGTTGCTGCCTCGGCATATTCTTTCCTAGCCAACGCTGCCTCGGCATATTCCTTCCTAGCCAACGCTGCCTCGGCATATTCCTTCCTAGCCAACGCTGCCTCGGCATATTCCTTCCTATCAAACGCTGCCTCGGCATATTCCTTCCTATCAAACGCTGCCTCGGCATATTCCTTCCTATCAAATGCTACCTCGGCACTTTCCATGCCCAGACATGCCGATATAACCATGCGTAACTGTCCAATGTTTACCTCTTGAGTGGCAGGACTTGCATGTCAGAGCTCTACAACGTAGTCAGTCTCAAAAAATTCTTTCATATATTTGTGAATAGGGTTTCGTGAAAAAGAAATCGTGAATAAGAGTTTCGTAAAAAGGGATTTCGTGCATAGAGGTTTTTCGAACAGGGATTTCGTGAATTGGCGTTTCAAGTATTGGGGTTTGGGGCTAACGTGTTTTGTGTATTAGGGTTGAGAAGAATCGGACGCTTTTTTCTGCCAATACTTTGCCAGAGAGTAAATTTTCACTCTGGATTGCCGAATAACATCGATTCCTCGAAAATTGCAAAAGATATTCCAAATTTTCACGAAGCATATGAGATTTAACGAAACTGCTTTTTATGATTGATATAATTCGTGTTTTATTTCTCTGCTATATTCTTATTGAAACTCCTACAAAATTATAAATTATTACATTGATGCGCCCCTGATTATGCTTCTCTTCTCACTTGTGAAAAAAATAAATTTAAAAAGTTTGTCGGAGAAGGACCCTTCATGCTGATTCTTGTAAATAAAACCTTAAAAATAGACAATTACTGACCTAATATGACAATAATTATTGTTATTAAACTGACATGCACTAAATCGAGATAAAAACGCGCAAATAAGCAATGTTTCATTCTCACTTCATGCGAATTATTGCAATATTTCACAATAAAGATAAACCAAACTTCACCGCTGTAGAACCACGAAAAGTCACAGCAGTTCCGTAAAGTATGATAACGAATAAATCTAACTGAATGATTAACGAACTAAACTGTGAATTAACGAATTCACGTTTAATTTCTCATGCCTGGATTGAGAGCGCTGTTTTTATTTATTTTTTATTTATTTTATTTAGATTTATCCATTGAAGCGCAAATTGAAGAAGCAGGGACAAAATAAGACCTCCACGACTTACCCATGTAAGGAAATTGCTAAATGTAGAGGGCGTCAAAAAATGAACACTGTATACCGAGGAAGCCAGGTGTTAGGCATAGACTTAGGAGTTTTAATAAAGGAGTTTTGAATACAGGTGGATAATAAATTTTTCAGTTCTTTAGGGTTGATAAAATATATTAGGTAACGTTATAATTAATCTTAAAATCAACAGACAGTATTTATGGAAACATTGTGTTTGCAAATTCTTGGAATGAATAGCTCAATTTTGTCGGATGATAATTTGCAAAAAAAAAATAGCTCGCAAAGATGGGTTTTTTAGCTGATCTTTTAACAAGCCTCTTGAGGGACCAATGCCTGGTATCACCGGGACAATATAAATGTGGGACCACTTACCGACAGCAACGGACAGTGGAGTGTGCCGAGTATCATGCTTAATAAAAAAGGTTGAACGTTTTGAGGTACATGGAACGAAGTTATTAATATAAAATGCGAAAAATTCCGGGCACCAGGTAACATTTTGATTAGGATCACCAAGGTTCGGCGGGGTCCGCTTGTCCCTTATTCAAAAAGACAAACTGTCAGTAGGACTTTAATGGTGGCAGCAATGTTCTGATACCCATAGAGCTTACGATATGCGGAGCAGATACGAGGTTGTGCTGGGTTACGATTGTGTTTGAGTTTGTCAATCCAAAACTCAAACGTGTTGTTCAGTGGCTCTGACGCCGCGTGATACGCTATCTACTCGCTGTTTTGATGAAAAGTGGGCGTCTGAGACAAAATAAGACACAACGCATTACATCTCCTTGCAGGCGTAACTCTGAACCTCAATGCTATCTGGCGTCCCATTTTAGTAAGTGGAACGACAGATGAGTTGACAGGTTAAATTCATTAGACATTATTTACGATATCTAAGGCATAAAAATTATAAAGAATACAATCACACAAACTCTTTAAGCTTGCTAGTTGGGGGCTTCTGTTGAGACTCTCTTGAATAATAAAGCAATTAATCGTCCGCTCCACGCGCAAAGTCAAATAAAGAGCAAATTTTAATGCATATTAATAGCTCAGAAAAAATTGATAAAAAATATTGATTGAAATAATAAACCTTAACTCACCGTAATTTGTTGAATTTTAAGATGTTGCTTCAATGAGATTTTTTTCCTTGCATTTTTGCGTATGGAATTGAACTATGCAAAATTTAGGAAACTACACAACAGTCTACGGTTTTTACTACAAATATTTTATTTATTTACCATATACTGCATGCAAGTATTATGCAAGTATCCACGTTAAATGAACTTTAACTGGATACATCTGTGATTAATACAAATGCTAGAGAATAGCTGTTGATACTCATATTTGTATTGCAGGCGAACTGACATCATTCGATACAAGCGTGCAGACGCACAATGCTGTCCATGCCATGAACAGCACAACGTATAAACTCACCTTAGAGGCTTGCCTGATGCATAGCGAGGACGAGCTTTGTAATAACTGGACATCAGCAGCATTATTAAGATAATGATGAGTGCTACTGTGACTGTCATGTGTATGACAGGTAGTAAGAAGTGTGTACAAAACAAGTCTGAGTCTGACATGTAATAATGGGGCTAGTAATTTACTTTTTTAACAAAGGACGAGGCAGAGCTAAGAAATGTTATGAAATGCCACAACTTTGTGTGACGAGGATTGCAGGCCTATAAACGTAACGTTGTGAACAACATTTTTACATTCATCTCAATATCTGCGTACGGTGTTGTATTTTGGTAAATGTTGGAAATTATAAGTGTTGTCATTCTGAAGACCTAAATTTTCAATCTAAATGGCCTTATCGTTTTTTAAATTAATATCATTCAGTGGACATTTTTTATTTAGTCGAAAAGCATTCCAAAACCTTTAACGAAGAAGCGTGAAAATCATATTTTGGATCCTGTTCAACCAAAAAAAAAAAAGAATATCAACATACATCACTTGAATTTGTAATTATATTTCATATCTTGGAATATAGCCTTTAAAAATCCCTCTGTGCGGAGAGATTGTAAGATTTTTTTTTCAGGTCGAAATTAAACATGAAAAAGGATATAAAATAATTCCATTCGATCGATGTGTGCAAGAGACCATCAAGGTTTTCGATCGATCATTCTTCGTGTAAGATTGAAAATTCATCCTCAAAAAATATCTGGCAATTCAAATTTTATCAGAAATTTGATACTCTGATTGAAATCAACAGATAAATAAATACTATTGAATGGTTTTCTATTCCTTCGTAGGAATTTGCTGAATGTTACTGAAGGGAATGAGATCGAAATATCGACCAGAACGAAAAGAGTCATTCATAGAGATCAACAGCTACCTGCTAAAATAATGTATTGTTATAGCCCTATTTGAGGTTCTTGAACAGAGAGTAACTTTAATAATTTTTTCAGAAAATTCTGTGCCTAAAAATTGTAACCTCGGTATAGAATTAATGGTTCGTTGTTAATCACGGTTAATTTTGCAAACTTCGAGATCTTAAATCTTCTTGTGGCAATAAATAGTTTCGCAAACGCTAAAAGTTGCGCCGCTTCATTATCCGGCGCACTCGCATCTGGTGTGCCCGCGGAGCTGCGGCAGTAACGAGCTCACTCATGTTAATCAACTGAAATATTTCCAGACATCGCTAATTGGAACTCGCAAGTAACAATTGATTCGAGCCATAGCTCAATAGACACAAAATGAGCAATGCTAAATTGTAATGAGATTAGGACATGAACTCGTGCGAAATGCTGTGAATCCATCTCACGTTGACCTGAAATATTGGGCTACGAATACTTGAGAATAATCAGATTTTGAAGAAATGACCGCGTATGTTTTTTCTCTCACAAATAACCTCTCTGAAGTGAATGCTATAGTTTTAATTATTATGCTACTATTAATGCACAAAGCAATTGTTTGATAGGATCGCGACTCTCACTCTCTAAAAATTAATTTTTTTTTGTAACGTGGCAAAAAAATAGTCCTAACTTCGCATTTCTTTTTACTTGCATCACTTCGGTTTTCTATTAATCTTTATTAACTGGTTCTAATTTCAACCTAGTTTCCCATGTGTAACTTACAACAGAATTCAAACAGTATTGGTACAACTCCAACACCGTACATAAAGTTTAGCGCACTACTAAATTAAAGCTTTTATTTTTATGAAGGCTATCAAGACAAACATGTCTGTTTCCAAAAGCATATGCATGTTTTACTAATAGAGTATAATGTAAAATGAAAGGATATAAGTCTGTTGTGCTTTTGGCCGCTACATACGTAATAAAGGCACGAACGCTAAAAAAAGTTATATTGATCAGCTACGCTAAATTCTATACCCATTTAATGGACGCTACACATTACATACATTCCGGATACACTAAACACGGCACAAATGGTAGACTCACTGCACACGGCATAAATAACGCACGCGCTACACTCAACACAAATGACAGACACGTTACACACGGCACAATTGGCATTCTCACTACACACTGCATAATGACACAAGCTACCCTCAACACAAATGGCAGACGCACTACATACGACATAAATGACAGACACACTAAACACGGCACAAATGACACGCTACACTCAACGCAAATGGCTGACACGCTACACACGACACAAATGCCAGACGCTACACTCAACACACTTGGCGAACACGCTACACACGACACAAATGCCAGACGCTACACTCAACACACAAATGAAACACACACTACACACGACACAAATACCAGACGCTACACACAAATGAAACACATTTTACACACCTGCTGCCCTGCAGTCTGAGCGTGGACATCCTGGTGCAGGTGACGCTGTGTTGGAGGGACGTGGACATGCCGCGCTCGGTCTTCAGGCGCCCACAGCAGAGGGCGACCAAGAAGCCTTTCCTGAAGTGCTTCGACATGAAGCCGTAGATGATGGGGTTGATGCAGCTGCAACAGCGGGTAAATGATGGGGTTGATGCAGCTGCGAACAGCGGGTAAATGATGGGGTTGATGCAGCTGCAACAGCGGGTAAATGATGGGGTTGATGCAGCTGCGAACAGCGGGTAAATGATGGGGTTGATGCAGCTGCAACAGCGGGTAAATGATGGGGTTGATGCAGCTGCAACAGCGGGTAAATGATGGGGTTGATGCAACTGCGAACAGCGGGTAAATGATGGAGTTGATGTAGTTGTGAAAAGAAAGATTATTGTTGAATATCATCGTAAATTTTGTGTGCCAAGTCTTACATTTATCTTATAAAATCAGATGAATAATTCGAACGTAAGCATGTAGATCATAATTTGGCATTCGTCGATGATAAAGATTGTAAAAGAGTTGTCATATTTCTGCAATATTACTTATTATTTATATTGTGATTGTAATAATGAAGCTGATGAAGCACCTGTTCATATAAGACAGCAGGTCGGCGGCCGTACCGAGATGCTTGACGACCACGGAGTACGGCTCAATAACGCGGTAGGCCTTCATCACGTTGATGATGAGGATGGGGGCCCAGCATACGATGAAGAGCAGCACGACCACCACCAACATCGACACTACCTGCATCATGAATCAACAACTCAGCTTAGTGCTGCTCTACAGCAACATACTTTACAAATGACGGGAAATCGTTCCCGGTATCGCACCTTGTGACTTAAGCTCACGGCAGCATCGAATTATATTCTATTTATAAATATATTATTTATGTAAGTAATAGCATAATTTAGCGGCTTGAATAAGGTCTTGAGTGAAATTTATGTAATAAATATCCAAAGTATACGTTTCAAATATCAGGCCTTGTCATTGCAAGATATCTCGTGATTCAAATTCGTAGAAATGAAGACATATAAAAATAAAAAAAAAGTAAATCTTAAAGTATGCAAGAGAAGAGCGACTAAAAGCAAAATTGCTGAATTGAAGTCGTAACAGCATAGTTTTCCGCGCATGATTGTATTTTCTGCTTTCAAATCTCTTCTGCCTATTTTGGTGTCATTTTAATATTTTAATGATTAAATAAGCTTGGTTATACTGCAATCATTAATGACGGAGATGATCGCCGTAACGTGGTTATTGGAAATGCGGTAAATTTTCTTGAACTTGTAAGGCTATTTAATTAACTATATTAATTTGAAATTTATCTTAATAGCATCGGAATGGAAAAAAATTCATAGTTTATTATGGATAGATTCTACGAATTCACAGCCGAGGACGAAACCCACCAGACATATGACGTTGACAATTAAGGTTGATTCAAAGGAATAGCCTTTAATTAAATATTATTCAACTTGAAATGCCTTTTTAGAGTCGTTGCTAATGAATAACCTCTGAATAATGACCGCGTTGGCAGCTGTTACTTGAACGCTCATCAAAGAGGCGTGTGGTTAAATCCAGCCTTCAAGAGCGTCGTCATGACAACGGAGATAAACATCTTCATATTTAACTTTCCAACGTCTATCTGGAATAGGCTAATTATTCGAGATTCCTATCACATGCTGAAGCGTTTGATGATACGCATACCACGAAGCTACATTCAGGGAAATGAATGGGTCACGTGTCCTAATAGCGGCACACTTTCATACCCACGGCACGAGCCCAGAGTATACGTATAGCACTGATACGCCCTTTTGCCGGGCCAAACTGTTTCATGACGACCCGCACATGGACAAAAAGGGCATAATTATTTGAGACAACATATCATTTATCTGCGTATAAATGAAATTTACATTTATATATTATATTTTATTTATTATATATTATATGTACATTTATATATTATCATCAGTCATGCGACAGAGCTTCTTATATTCTAGACTCTAGAGGAATCGCGGCCGAGCGCAACTGCGACTTTAATCGACAAGCTTGCTTTCAAAAAACTATAGGCCTAAAGGCCGATACAGAAGCTCTGAGTCAGCATCAGGGCTTCAGAGTTGCCCTCAAATGTAGTAGTGCAAGGAAGTTTCTAGCATTAGAAACTAATAATGAGCGGGAAAGTTAAAAAAAATAGGCAGTCAAACTAAATAAAAGAAAATGGAAACTAGTTTTATCTGCAATAATAGTATGTCATTATTTTCAAGAGGCTATATACATTTCCAAATAAGAACAGTGGGGCAAAAATTACATTACCCAACTTTGTTTGCAAATAACTTCTGTGGTGTGCTTAATTCAACAATCAAGTTGGAATTTCTGTTGATGAAATTCAAATATAAAAATTTCATTACGAATATAAATACATTAAACTGCCAAGTCGGCATCAATAATTGCAGAAAAATATCGGAATCGGCCACAAAATTTTCTTGTTACACCGATTGTTTAGTGTTTATCATTATTATTGCTTCCTACATATTACCTTTATTCGCTTTTGCTTCTAGCACAAACCAACTGCTTGTAATCAATCTGCGTTCTAATTATTGTTTCTAAAATCATTGTTCTTACCAAAATTTGTAATACATTTTATTTCCATTCCCATTTTAGGAAACTATTTGATTAATTATTGAGTTGTTGTGTGATTGTGTCGAAAACGTGATTTTAGTGTTGTGTTGGGCTCGATCGTTACGAAATGATAACCAAGAAAATCGCATCAATGTTGATTATTTGTTTCTGTACATGAATTTCAAGGCATGCGTCCGTGAACAACTCTCGGGCATCAGCGCCACGTCACAGCGGCTACATGGGAAGTGCCAGCAAAACTTGTCCAGCATCTCGACTTGGGTTTTATAATTAAATACAAATGGTTACAAAATAAGTACCAATGGTTTTCAGATCGAAATTGTGAGACTCACACGGCATCTCGACTTGGTTGTATTGGCGCGCCGAGTGTCATGAGCGGCGCGAGGCGAAGCTTATCTTCCAGTGACTGGACTTGTTTTCCTTTTTAGCGCATGCATCTTCTCTTTATAGAAATAATGCACTATTGTACTCGCCATGTCCGTCTGTCTGTCTGTCCGTCCGTGACTGTACGTTTTCGTCGATTTTAAGAAGCGGGCATGCCTGTATCAAAGATACGACATCTCTAGCACTAATGCGCTGTACTAATCGCAATGAAAACTGATTGTCTCTGTCACCTGTCACTCACTGCCGTGAGTACTGACTTATATTTTTTACGATCTTTGTGCTCTGATTCGTTATGAATGATTTGTTCATATAACCAGGGTAACCAACTGTGCGTGTTAAATAAAATATTATACACGGCAATTCGGATGAGCTGCAACATTATTCAGGTTTCAAATTGTTTTCTTTAAATGGCCTTCAGATCATACATAAGAATGTTCATGCTGGAACTGCAAAAATATGTTCCATTAGTATACTAAAATTTGCACATGTGTTCATTTCCCTTAACTACTTCTACAAAAAAATGTCACCCATCCGGAAAATAACTGAAGTATTCCGTGTAAATTAGATTGCTATAACGAGGCCAGAACAATGTCGAGCTTAAAAGAATTGACGTGCAAGTAATGACGCTCCAGGTTTGTATTAATTTCCAGTCCTTCTACTAATTAAAAGACAGGATGTTTAGAAATATTACAATTTACCCGACGATCATTGTTGCAACTGCGGGCAGTTTAAATGTGGTATGCCCACGCGAGCTTAATTTGCCAGCACGGCATGAATAGCGAGCACTTTTGTCTTCTATGAACTATTTATTGTTGAACTAATTATTAAATCCTAGGCAATAATGCAGGATGCAATACTAACGCATTAGTGACGAGGTTTTCTGCCTCAGACACCAGCTAATAACAATTATAATTAGGCAGCGTTAAGTAATTAAGTATGAGAATAAATTATTCTTTTATATTAGGCGGTATATTAGGAATACTTCGATGTAAAAAAATTACTCATGAATGCTTGAAATACAAGTTTGTTCAGTTTAAGCTGCATATAATTCTTTGATTCCACTTGAACTCATTATTTAGTAACTTCAATAGTCACACTAGAACCACAATATGTTTATATGATGAAAAATGTATTATGTCTTAAGAAATACGACTACGCAACTTGTTTCATTTCGTTTTCGTCTTCAGGGATCACTTTAGGAATTTGTGACTACATTACCGGTTTTATTTCGTTTTTGTCCTTAAGGATCACTTAAGGAACTAATAATACTACCTTACCTTCTTTATCTCGTTTTTTTTTATCATCAGGAATCACCGAAGGGATTAATAAGACTCCCTTACCTGCTTTATTTCGTTTTTGTCATCAGGGGTTCCTTTGTTAACCGTGGGACCTGAACTGTTCAGTAGTAGCCCATTGGACCTGAAGGATAGTTAGATTAACCGTAAGTATCATGTTTCAGCCACACTATATCTTCTCTCTCAACGTGTATTTGTTAACTTTAACATGTGTAACTTTTTAATAAAAAAATCAGACATAAAAATTTTACATCATCATCCGGTTGTAAGAACGTTGCTATGAAGCCCCAACAATATCATACCGCATCACTCTCACTAGTTTTAATATCACATCAGACATCACCATCACTTCATAGCACTTCTATGGAGCAGCACAATCAAGTGGCACCATCATGACTTTATTGCATCGTCATGTGGAAGCCCCGTCTGGGTATTTTAACGTGTCCGTGCATAAAAAATACTTGGTTCATAGAAAAATGGGTAATGTTATTACTGCCTAAACTTCTTGAGTTACCAAGATTGTTCCCCATGACGCTCATCCCATCGCTTCGCAAACACATCCACGCAAGTTGCGGGAGAAATACTTGCTTAATACAAGCAGTCTCTTTACGTTCACTGTACACAAGCACGTCATGTACTTACATTAAGTGAAGAAACTTGTCTTCTGTGAGCTAACCTCAGAGAAAGTTCGTGTTTATGGGCGCTGTATGAAAACTACTTGCATCAAAGACGGGGCAATCAAAAACTTGTAAAATTGAAGCTTCGAAAAAAGTTTCAATCGCTTTATAGACCTGAGAGCGATGAACATGAGCTGAAGAAAGTCTGCTCGCAGCAAAAGCTTAAGAAACGAGTTCAAAAATTAGATATAAGAAAGAATTCTGCAATGCACGAAACACCGATCTTGATATCCTCATAATAAGCCATAGAACCGCCGTTAGATGGCTAACGAGCCGTTATCATTATAGATAGAAAGAACTTTAATATCGATTGATATTTGACGACTGCTTGTGCATACGACCATGAGTCTTTGATACTGCGCATAAAAATAAATGCCAACAATTTCCTTTGTATATTTATCTATAAGCGATATAAAGCGTTGTCCGGCACCTAATGTAAACTGAATTAATTTCATATTATCATTGTTGCGAATTTTTTCATTATAGTGCTTGGGTTGATTAAAATTATAGTGACTACTGGAGACCCAAAACAAAAAAAAAATGCGAATAATATTACGATCATAACAAGAAGGATGACGTTAATTAAATGAAGTAGAGGACATTTTTCAAATAAACATTCATCATTTGGCAAATAAGGCTCGTAATAAGATTTAAAAGATTCATCGTTTCCATCGACGTTTCATTTTGTTCACATCAGTAAAAACAATTTGCTAGACTTGTTCAGGATGAGAAACTCTGATAAAATAACCGCAAATTCAGCATAAAATTTGTAATTCCGCTCATCGTATCTTTCGTTATTTTAGGGTTTGCTCGCTTAAAAAACTTATCGCGTAAATCTTGAAGCCTCATCTTTTGCGGAGACTCGTCCATAAATCTCAAGTATTTTACTTATTACACTAATTGTGGTCTATGTAATTTTACAGAGAATATGTCGGCTAAAAAAACACTCAAACCTTCATAAAAGCCAAGCTTATCGCTATTTTCCCTGCCATGTCGTTGGGCTGGGAATAGATCGCGCACAAACACTGCCAGGCGCTCTGCTCTTGACAGTGCGGCGGTATCCGTTGTGAGGACCTGGCTCGCCGTCATGACAATATGCGAGCCTTGCTTTGCTCTATCAGGGCCGCCACGACTTGTATTTCTGGATTTATTTCTACCAGGCACACGACGACTTCCATGTCACTGTTACTCTCGGGCATGTCCACCACAACTTCCATTTTACGGTGACTTTTTGTTTTGTTACGCACATCACGACTCATATTTCTGGGCTCATGTCTGTTATATGTACCAGGACTAAAGGACAGCAACTCACATCTCACGACGTGTCTCGACCATGCCACAACTCACATCTCGCGGCGTGTCTCGACCATGCCACAACTCACATCTCGCGGCGTGTCTCGACCATGCCACAACTCACATCTCGCGCCGTGTCTCGACCATGGTGCAGACGGCAGCGCAGATGCACGTGTATGCGACGCCCATGACGATGACGGGCAGTCCCAGCAGCAGCACCAGCACGTACGTCTCGTACGCCGGCCACAGCAACGTCGAGTCAAAGTTGCGTACACACCAGTACGCCTCCACCCCCTCCCCCACCTCCATGTGCACCTGTACAACGTCGAGTCAAAGTTGCGTACGCACCAGTACGCCTCCATCCTCCATGTGCACCTGTACAACGTCGAGTCAAAGTTGCGTACACACCAGTACGCCTCCACCCCCTCCCCCACCTCCATGTGCACCTGTACACCAGCCAGCCTCAATCGTTGTTCCACTCAGGAAATGAGTAGATAATTTTTCTTTAAATAGTGACACACTTTCTTAACCACAGCGCAAACATAGAGCAAACGTAGCACGGATACGTGCTTTTACTGGCCGGAGATGGGTTAGGATTACCCAAAAGTGCGTCGATATTTGGACAATGGTTATACTTTCCTAATTGTCAGCACAGACGACAATGTAGATTAGATTAGCAACCAATGGATACTTCGTAGTATTATTTAAGCTACGTGCATCGTGAACGCCTATTCGCTCAATGACAAATTAATTGGTGGATTTGTAAAAGTTGTTAAGAACTATCAGGATGTGGTACATATTTCTTTAAGAGGATTACACATATTTTGACGAAAAACCCAACAATTTAAAAATGGCACAACCGTGTTATTTACATCTTTAAAAAAGGAACATGTAAAATATTGAGTCTAGTTGAATAAATCTAGCCATTTAATTGTGATGTATGCTTTGTTCCATCGTGTGGTGCATGTTCTGTTCATATATTGAGAAATTTAGATTGCAAATGAGTGGAATGGCATGCAAGGTTTGGTCATTTTTGTTAGCGACAGACAAGTTGCGCTCTGAAAAAGCTAATATCGAATGCAATTCAAGTCGGGGAGGAACACTGTCAAATGAGTCCTCGCCGCTGGTTTCAAATTAATTTTGACTTCCAATTGAATTTAGATCGTAATTGAAATTATGCAGCAGGATGTGAATTATGTAGCGGGATGTGAAACAAAATTGCGGTGGCTGCTTTGAAGGTTTGTTATTGTGCCGTGGTCATGTGGTAATTAAAACTGAGCGACATGATAAACAAATCTCTGTTATTGTTCTGTTTTTGGGCTTTTAAAAACAAAACGTAATTCTTACCTGCACAAAGAGCACCGGAGAGGCCAGAGCGATCGCCAGGAACCAAATGACAACGCACAGACGACGCGCCTTGGAGAGCGTGCAGCGGTACTGTGACTGCATGGGGTACACGATGGCGTAGTACCTGTACATAGCACCAGCGTACTTTATAAATGTAACAACATCTCCAGCACCGACGTTCTTAATAAAAATATTAACAGCATACTTTATATAAATGGATAGCGAGCCTTTAATTGTTTTCTTCCTCATTCAGTGAAGTTGCCTGTATTAGTGAAGTTAAAACGAAGCGGCTGGCGGTTGCCAGCAACCTCAGTCAAATCAGGCGAGGCAAGTAAAGTGAAACTCTACGGACATCCTCGCCAGTGATCGTTTTTACGATCATCGGCTCAGACGGAATGGCTTCGTGCTGCATTAGGCCTCGTAAACGTCTACTCACAGACATCATAAACGCCGAAGATGATCGGATAACATGGGTTTATTTTAATAAATGTCATGAATAGCAATAGTAACCCATAGACCCCTGAAATTGGGTATGTGAATGAGTATGTTTAAAGTTTAACAATTTACTTGTTCTCTACCTATTATTCTAGCTCAAATTATACTATCATAACATTTATTAAAATGTTGCTTATTTCGTCTCAAAAACGTGCAGTTCCAAATACAACGTCAGAAAATCACCCGAGGTGTAAATACCGGAAACGAGTAGAGCAAAGAATTTCAGAATCATTTGAAGCAAATTTTCCTAAAAAGAGCAGCAATGTTAATCAAGCGCTGGTAAAACTCTCCTGTTTATTGCCTCTGATTTGTCGTTCCCAAAATTCCTGCAAAAAAATCAAAATTTGGCAAATTTGGTGGCATCAAAGCCCCAGAGCGGCCGGGCCAGGCCGATTTACTAGTCATGGAGGGCTCATTGAAGCGTGACGTGAGGGATAGACAATGTTCATTGGAGCGGTCAACGAAGAAATAGGCATTAGAGGCAGGGATTTTATTTAACGTTTTTTTCCATCCAGTGAGTCTATACTTCATAACGTAAACCTGAAATTCCTTTATTGTTTTACCTTCGTTTAAAATTTGCAGTAATATCTGTTTTAATACAAGATGTTTTTGAAAAACATAATTCTCAATGAATTAGGCAATCTTACTTTCAACTGAATATTGCATTCCCTTTTCAGAAACACTGTTACGAATTTAGGGCAAATTAATGTTCGTTTAACGCTATATACGCACGAGTGTGGATACCAGCAATTCGTTACGAGCAATTATAAGGAGGTGATTACTTGGAGTGTAATGCGATATTATGCAGTTTTCCACTTTGGGATAGACTGGTTTGGGGTAAACTGAGTTAAGAGCATTCTCAAAACTGATCTCTATTAATGGCAGGTGTCATTTTCAGGTCGTTTGGATTGTTTGGTTCAGAATCTGCGTTAAATTAAAATAACGTCTGACCAATCACCTATTTGCCGTTTCCCAGAATTTTGGTTAATTTTGAAATAAAAATGATCAAACTTGTTCTGTTTGGCGCTAATCTAGTAGCGCAAATTCTAACATTTAATAGAATAATTTGACAGTTATTTAATATAACACAATTGATAAAATATAATAATAGACATATATTCAATCATTGATGTTAAATTACCTACATAATTTCACACCTATAAATTTAGTTAAAGCCTAAACTCACTGTCTGTACAACTAATCAAATATCCCTGAAACTGAATGTCTCAATTGTTAAATTGAAGCACAGGCAATCATTACGGCAATCATTAACAGAATACATCGCGAAGATATCGCTCGTCCCCACACGACTGATTAACACTGAAGTATGAATCAAATTATGAGGCGGTACACGTCACCTCTCCAGACTGATGCAATTATTAATCACATTATGAGGCGCTACACGTCACCTCACCAGACTGATGCAATTATTAATCAAATTATGAGGCGCTACACGTCACCTCTCCAGACTGATGCAATTATTAATCACATTATGAGGCGCTACACGTCACCTCTCCAGACTGATGCAATTATTAATCAAATTATGAGGCTCTACACGTCACCTCTCCAGACTGATACAATTATTAATCAAATTATGAGGCTCTACACGTCACCTCTCCAGAGTGATACAATTATTAATCAATTATTAGGCGCTACACGTCACCTCTCCAGACTGATGCTGACGAGGGTGAGGACGGAGCACACAGCAGAGACCATGTGTACGTAGTACACAAGCTTGCACGTCACGAAGCCGAACGTCCAAGTGTACGAAAACAACCGCGCCAGCTGAAAAAGCAAGACACGGTTTTATTTCAACGAGTTTTTTTAATATCAGCGAGATGAATAATTTGATCCTGCTTTTAAAATCGCGCCTTATATGTAATTTTATATTTCACTGATGTATAATTTCCGGCCAGTCTAGTGTAATGTAGATGACACCCGTTTCGTTAATCTACATTGATCTATAATTACTCTTTCGTTTATAAGAAGCCAAGAACAAGGTCAATATTTTTCAAACAATTAAAAAATTAAATAATTGAACTGGTGCTGAAATATATAGGCACGATTACCCAGTGATAATATCACGTTTTGAACATTATTCTTAATAAAACATAATAATTCCGTTAGTTAATCGCTGTTCTGTTCGCTAGGAACTCGCTGCTATATTGTTGCGACAAATTTAGTTTGTTCCTCGACTATAATGTATTTAATGTTCAAATGTTGTTTGCAAATAGATTAGCTGTATAAAAGTGTACAAGGTTCTTGACTTAAGTGTGAAACTTATTAGAGAGTTACATTTGCCAGCGTCTTAGCGTTCTGGAAATGTCTGAAAATTCATTAGACGATCATATAGCGATCTGCCACAAACTCACGTCAATTATGCCAGCAGGAAAAGTTTTGAATCGTTTCACAAACTTCGATTTACTTCTAAGCACTCGAGTGATCTGTATTCCTAATGTAAAATCTCTCAAGTGTTTGGCGCTCTCGCCGCAGCAGGTTTTCTTAAAAATACGTCGCTAATGACCGGGGAGTTTGTGACGGGTATCCAATAAACGATCTGTGACATCCATATGGGCTTACTTTTTACCTGCCGGTCGAGATGATAAATTTTCGCAAACATCTGTTAATGTGGAGCAACTGTCCTGACATCGATCAAACTTTGTGCAACAGTTAAAAGTATAACGTAGAGGATGAAATTAAGCTCATGTTAAATAACTTTCAAGAAATTGGTCGTATGAAAGTGACGCTCACAAAAAAATTGTATCCTATTACCAAAATTCCTCGTGCTGATAGGTGTGCCTTTTAATGAAGAACTATTCGTCCAGCAAAAAACTCATCTCTAAACTAATTTGTAATGGAGCGTGTTAAAATCGTGGTAGATTTTGAAGCTTGAGCATTAAATTTTTTATTCATCAAAACTTTCAAATGGAAATTAAGATAATGCGAATGAAACGAAATTTCAGAGCTGACTACATAAGGAAATTCTAAACATTCACATTAAAATTTGATATTCCATTATTCTGTTCAAATTTTCAGAATGCGTTACTACATTTCTAGAGTTAAATCCTTTATATTGTGAACACAAATTATTTAGAGGCTGAAGTTCCTTGTTTCTCCGTCTAATTTTCTTCACCAAAGTTGAAATTTCAGTTGTGGATCAAGCCCATCCAGCCAATTGTTTTCAACAAAATAGAAGGAATATAATTAGCGCCCGGTTAATGTAGCAGAAGATTCAGTATTTGGTGAAATAGCGTCGTGAGAATTGATTTTCAGTGCAAGACAAAGATTATTACGAGGCTGGACGTGTTCACGAAGATTGTTAAATTTTAATTGGCGATTAAATAATATGCATTTCACGAAAAATATTCGCTAAGATACCTCGATTATGTGTGAAAAATATCCTGGCCCTTACAAAGCACCATATATTTATATCATATCATAGTAATCCATTTATTTTCCCATATTTCTGCGTAAATATCAAAGAAAAAAATTAGCCGCACGACATATCATAACTCCACGGATATTAGTTCAAATGTTTAATATACTAATTAACATTTTTAATTCTCTGCTCTGCGCAGCTTCAGTGCATCAAACAAAACTAGTTCTTAAATAACGAAATCATTAAAAGAATCTTTTGCTTTTAAAGTATTATGTTGAACATTATCATGAAAAATTAATTTCGTTCCCATATGAGCGTGACGCAATTACGTATTTGCTTCGAATTCCCCTTCCATTTACCAGCAATGAAATCCATGATGCCTCGTAGCGACGGTCTCATAATAGCTGCAGCGCAATAACATTAACACACTCGCAAAAAGAATAATGGTGGAACAATAATATCAACTCAGTCGCATCAGAAATATCTGCGGTACAATAACATAAAAAAACGCAGTTTGTGTCTCTGAATCAGCTAGCGCAGCTCGTAACGATTGGTTATAAGGTCGCGTACTGCGGTACACATATCTCTTGCCAGCTGCTAGCTCTGTGTCATCCCTAGTGTAGCCTTATGAAACATTTCATGATAAAATATCTATGAAATAAAATATCTATGAAAATCTAGTCGAGGTGTAAATTGAATTATCCGGAAAATTCCTTATATTTTAGACAGTTCTATTGCAGTATGTGACAGATTACATTCGACGTGTTCAGGTCCGTGCATGTCTCAGACTAAATAACTTTTTATATTCAAGCTATAAATACATATAGCAGGCACACCTTGTTTAGCTTTTGAAAAAGTTTCGACAAGCAGTGATGTTAATTTAAATTGTTATATATACATCTTTTAGTAAATTTTAAAGCTCCATATTGAATTCGAGTAGAATTAAGGCTTTATATTATGGCTCCAAAGATTTTCATCACTTAGTTTGAGTTTAGTAAAGACAAATTGAATACAGATAAGCAAAAATCGAGAGTTTACATTGATTATCAATCAGTATATAAGATTTGGAAGGTTATTAGTTAGTAGAATATTCTAAACTTTAAAAGGGACTACGGAATTCATATATTCAAAATTCAATATTGACATAAATGTTTCCATATCATAGTTTATTCATTAAAAAATAGCATTTGAATAAGTGCAGCGAATAGTCGGCTCACTGACGTCTCGGGAGCTTCATTGACTGCTTTTCTGCTGTCGCAAGATATGCCTTCCTGCCCTGCTAGCCAGCGTGCAGCTTCCTGAAGGACTGCCATGTGCTTCACCCGAAGCTTAACTGAAGTGAGTGGTTTCAATATACTGAGAAATAGTCGAATTTTTTAAGGTCAGGAAATTATAAATAATTAAAGTGGTAATACTTAATCAGCCCTTCCGTCGGTTTTTCAAACAAGTCCATTTATTATTCTTTTGTACAGAATCATTCAGTTACTTTTTAGGTTCAGACAGTTTTGTAACTTCGCACGTTTTGTTCCAACTTTGAGTTAAAATTTATGGGAAAATGAATATATGCATCGATATTTAATTTAAGGTTAAAACTAACAATCATTTGGAATCATACGTATGCGGTTGAGAGTTCGATGGAAACTAAAGTCGGTGATACGAAACCATGGCATCCATGATTTAAAAATGAGTGACTTCGATTGTTCTTAGGTGTTTCTATGCGTAATTGTTCTGAGGTTTTACTAATTTTTCCTCATGTACTCCATAAATATACTGCTCTTGATGACCTTTTCGTACAACTGCCGCCATGACATTTAGAGTGCCAGTGAGGATCGAATGAATTGTGCCATTTTCTGATCGATTTTTCAGAAAGTAGCAATTGTGATGGCCTAATGTAATTACCACTTCAAAACATCCTGCTTGCCTACGAAGGTACTTTAGTGTCATTACCACAGCTGCGATTTACAGATATTGCCTTCGACAATGCGGCACATTAGTGCCTGCCATTGCCATGGCAACGAGTCCACAAAATTTTCTGCGTGACGCTCTCGATTCATTGCCATGACAACGCTTCAGAGGCATAACCACAGATCCGATTTAGAGTTTTCCTTTTTGAAGCTCTAGTTCTGTTTTTACGACATTTTCGTGGAAACGATCATGTTCAACTAAAATTTTTGCATCGAGAGTGCATAGATCTGGTGACAGAGGCGGCCACGGTCCGGCTTCAGAGCGATAAAGTAATTGATGAGGGTACAGTATTTTTGACTTCAGAATTTTCACGTTTTATTTCGCTGATTGAGCTGCAGACTCCTCTTGATTAAAAAAAAGGTTGACTATGTTACTATCCACAATTAAAAAAAAACATTGATTCGGGCGTTCATATCGACTACTGGCTTTGGTATTAACAGCAGAATTCTATCAATGCAGAAATATTTTCTTAAATTCTCAAAAGTAAGGAAACCAACTATGTAGTTTTGCTAGTTTCTACATAGTTAATGTCCTCGGGTTTCTCTAGGATTTTAGCAAACATAAAATACGCAGTTTTCCATGGATAGTACAAAATTATATCATTATTTGTAATTTCATTATTCGTCGATGGTCTGTGTCTGCCTCGCCGTTTTGAGAGAATATTTTTGTATCACTAATAAAAGCTGCGTGTGATGAATGTCGGATTCTGATACACAATGTCTGAAAAGGTTCGCAAGAATTGGTGCGCGAAATCTCTGAAATTTGACATTATTATAATTGAAAATAATATAGATATGAATAAGAAACGTTTTATGCTAATTTCACACGCAGTTTGTGTTGTCATGAATTTAGGCAGTATTGGTATAGTTCAACAAACTCGGACATATTGTACAGCATACTGTACAGTCTGTACATACAGTCACTAGCTAATACTGCCTAGCTAATACAGTCACCGTATTAGCTAGGTAGTACAGGGCCCGCCATATTTATGGCAACGGATGTTTGCTATATAAAATAAATTGGTTTCTAGGAGACTTTCTTTTATAATGAAGCATAATATCATCTATTAATTCATCTATTTTATATTGCAGAAGTCTAAGGTGTCTAAATTGACTATTACTGAAGCATAATATCATCTATTAATTCATCTATTTTATATTGCAGAAGTCGAAGGTGTCTAAATTTACTAGTACTTATGGCAGTAGATAGAAATGCAATTGTAACTCTTCATGAAAAGGGCGAGAGTAATTAAGTCATTGTAAAAAAAGCTCCAAATTTGTCGTGAAACTGTGTGGAAGATGGTAAAAAAATTTTCAAGGAAACTGGTGAAACAAGCAATCGACTGGTCAAGGAAGGAAACGAAGTGTCCGAACGAAACAATTAGTCAAAAGCACGAGGGAGAAGTTGAGGAGAAACCCTCGTCGCTCAGCTGAAAAATTGACTGCAGAAGCAGGAGTCAGTCAAACAGCAATGCGTATAGAGTCCTCAAAGATGATCTCAAAATCTCCCATTACAAGATGCAAACAAGGCATGAACTAACAGACCGTCATGAACGAATGAGGCTCGAAAGATGCCAGCACATTCTGGATCTCCTTGAGGATGCATGGCGCGCTGCCCAACTTGGTGTTCAGTGACGTGAAAAAATTTGACATTGAACAAAGCGTTAACCGTCAAAATGAAAGAGTTTGGAATCGGGATGGATCTGTGGCAACCAGAACAGCAACACGACGTCAAAATCCCATGTCCGTGAAGGTTTGGGCCGCGTAACCGCCACTGGGAGGTCCCCACTCGTTTTTGTCCCCTCAGGAATGAAATTGAACAGTCAGCGATACATTTAGGACATTTTGGAAGCTGTGTTGTTACCTTGGGCCCGTAAACACTTCAACGGCTCACAATGGAGTTTTCAACAAGACTCTGCCCATCACATGGCTCAAACATGATCAAAAATGGATTCAGGGTCACATCCCAGCGTTCATTAGCAAAAATGAATGACCCTCAAGAAGCCCTGGTTTGAATCCTCTCGACTTTTCTGTGTGGGCTATTTTAGAGAGTAGGGTCTGCAGAACTCCTCATGATTCTTCGGATAGTTTGAAGTCTAAATTGACACGAGAATGGGACTTGGTCCCTCAAGAAATGCTGCGTGTCTCCTGTGAAGCTTTCCCGAATAGATTGGAGGTCGTCATTAAAAATAAGGGTGGTCATAATGAATAAATATGTCTGAGAATTGTTTAGGTAATTCTTGGCTCCTAGCTCATCCTAAAAAAAACAATGCACCTGTTTGCTTCATTGAGAAATAAAAGCATGCGTTGCGATAAATATGGCGGACCCTGTATACAACACTATCTAAAGTGATTGATTGCGATTAATATCTTAGAAAACAAGCCATAAAGTGATTGATTGGTAACAATGTCTCAAAAATTAGATATGAATTGATTGCTTGGGATTGTTAGGGAACGTCTTTCAATAATAATTTCATCAATAGCTAGGTTACATGTATTGCCATTTCGGTTTTTGAGTGAACTATTACGTGACCTCGTGAGATGTAGCCTGTCATTGCTATACGATCCACCACAGAGGTTAGTGCTTGCATTGTTTAGCGTGTAAATCTTCCGTGTTGATGTAGTGGTGGCCTTTCTGGTGATATTGAATATTATTATTTATATTAGTTTTTTATTTATGTTTGTTATGTTCATTTGTTAGTGTTGCGTTAATTTAAGTCTTTAATTTGTCTTTATTCGTGCTTTTTCAGCGGGGCTCCGAACCTAGGACATGATTACGAACAATTAATAGGCAAGGGCTAGCAAGACACACGGTTTATATTTTATTTTCGTGCATTTATCGTTCATTTATTATTTGTTTATTTATTATTATACTTCTTAATTTATAATTTTTCTTTATATTTTATTTCATATTCCTTCATATTCATATTAATAAGTGTCTGGGGACAAAGAAAGCCTATTTATCTAAAAGTACCTAACATGATCAATGTCTTAAAAGCCACTCTATACAGTGATTGATAGAGTAAAAATGTTGCGGGATTAAAAGGCATTCTAAACGGTAATTTGATTGAAATTTTTAATCTAATTTAACATTCAAACCTAGGAGTGACTCTGCTAAAAGAATAATTAATTGGTTGAAGAAATAACGATCTGACAAGAGACAAGCAAAAATCTGAAATTATCATTCCTGAGCAACGCTGGTCTTGCCTTCTGATCCTTAATATATAATAGAAAGTCAGTTTGTTTGCACTTCTGTCTCTATAGATACCACCGGTGAACTGTTTCAATGCGGCAGGCGTCATTTCAATTGTTCGATTCCGAGCCATGCCAGACTAACGAGCCAACCTGCTGCCCAGATTAACTTTAGTCACCGTATTAGCTGGTCATAAACAATCTCATGTACCTTCATTATTCTTATGTAATAGCAGTCACTTCGCTCTCATTCATTTCAGAAAGGAAATTTGAGTGTATTTTTACCTACTTTTATCTTCTCAGTGATTAGAACTCAATTTAGATTAGAACTCCGAAGTGAGAAGAGGAGCTTCTGTTTATAGGCAAACAATCAATGGATATTGACAGGCCTCTGACGTCAATTACAGAGCTTGTATTTTTATCGTCTGCAACAAAGGCTTTAATTTGCTACCAACGGCATCTTATCCAAATGAAAATTCCATCTCAGTAATTGCTAATTAATGAAAAGCCTTCTTGACTCGCTTCAGAGGACATGTAACGTACGAGCCAGATTCGTGCTATTGATCAATACGATTTATTTTTGCCGCGCGCTTCCCCAACTTCGACCTTGGTTTTCTGGACCCAGCTTTCTTGCTGGTTTTTCAGGAATTGCTTGGAGGCATTCTTCTCTTCAAACTAACTTTCTTCAGCAACTGCAGTAACGACACGAAATTCAATTGTGGCAACACTAACAGCTGCTGCTCCAGATGGAGTGTTTGGCACGGCAGCATCAGTGAGAGTATTAGTTACAGCAGCACCTGAAGAAGTATTAATGATACCAACAACCTTTAGAGGAACAGTGGCGGCAGTATCAGTATGAGTTTTTGTGACAGCAGTAGCAGAAGAAATGCTGGTGACAACAGCACTGATAGTAGTATTGCAGAATTAGTAAAAGCAATGTCAGTAGGAATACTAGTGAGAGCAGCGCTAGTAGTAGCAGTATTAGTAACAGCAGAGCCAGTTGTATTACTAGTGACAGCAGTACTATATAGTAGTAGCAGTATTAGTAACAGCTGAGCCTGTTGTACAGTATTACTATAGAGACAGCAGCACTACTAGTAGTAGTAGTATTAGTTGCAACAGAAATTGCAGGTATATTATTAGGACATAATCAACTACTTCCGGCTGCATCTTATTGGTTGAGTTCATGGTGCCTTCGTATGAACTCGATGTAGCAAATGCACTCTAACATAACTACATGTTATGCACCTAACTCTCTCTGCATAATAACACATAACTTACTTTACTTCTTCATGATGTGACCAAAATATAAATGCTTATAGTATGAACGCGTTCAAGAACAGACTAGATAAAGCTATGGAAAAATATATGTTCAGATAAAAGAATATTAAATTCTTCTCATCAGAAACTTATAGCTTATATTTTTTAATAATAAAAACGACGAGTTCAGTCAGAGGCAATTTCTTTACAAAATTTTTTACACGACACCACACGATCATCATTCTTGTAACGAGAGACGAAATTCTCTATGGACTACATAGGCAACAATAAAAATTAATTATCAATATTTCTTAAAAATAGCTGAGCTTCATGCAGAATTACTGAAGCATCGTCAACATTTCAGAGACCTGTTTTTGCCTTCTATAAAATAACGGTTCTATACTTTCATCAATAAGTTCTGCAGAACTCCTTGACAATAACACGTTAGTTGTCAGCGAACGTGTTGTCAAGGAACGTGTTGTCAACGATCGTGTTGATAACGTACGTGTTGACAACGAACGTGTTGACAACGAACGTGTTGTCAATGAACGTGTTGTCAACAAACGTGTTTCAACGAACGTGTTTTCAACGAACGTGTTGTCAACGAAGGTGTTGTCAACAAACGTGTTGACAACGAACGTGTTGACAACGAAGCGTGCTGATGGCTGCGTGCCTAGCTCATTGCTTATGGCAGCTTCCTGCTTATAACGAAAGCTTTCCATTGCTTACTGATGAGCCCCGGACTACTGAAGGCTGCCTGGCAGCGTATGCTACTCTGCTTATCACCGAGGCTCACGCGCTGAAAATACGTTCACGTGACGATGTTCATTTCATCAAAATCGCATCATCCTCACAACAGACAAAATAATTTGGCATTAAATCTACATTGGGTGAGTTGGGTCCTGCATCGAAATTCTTTCGTAGTCGGTGAAAATTTTCACTGAGTTTCAGAACTTGTCCGCTAATCTGTTCTGGTTATCATTTTACCGTTAACAAATTCCGGTGCCAAGAAACAGCTATTATAGTAAATTAGAAACATTCGGTTGAAATGAATCTCAATAGATGCTAATTAAAATTTTCTTAGCAAAGCACATTCGTATTATATTGATGGTCTTGCGGAAGCCGTATAATTAGGGACGGGAGTAAATTCAATTAAATAAATGCTCACTTCGTTCCCTGCGCCCAAATTGAGCGTTCCAGCATAACGGGCAACGGACAATAATGGCGACGGCAGATTTTGGACGGCATTAAAGCTGTCTTTTTTTAATGTATTTTTTCTTTTAAATTGCTGTAGCGATATCACTAAAAGCGGACGCCATGGAGGAGCCGAGCCATAGAGGTAACTGGTGCAGCAACCATCACATTGTTGCCCGCTACGACAACGGCTCCAGCTTCACGATCAGGCGAGGAACACAACGCTGAACGTTAACTGAAACTTGCGCGTTTCCAATATCATAGCAAAAATACTGCTACCGATAAACGGAATGTAGTTCTTTGAGAGAGAGAACAGTTCAAATAAAAGTGTAAAAGGGAGCTTTAGGTTCAGAAGACAGCTCATTTGAAATTGCTTTGTCGTTTTTTTTTCATTGACGATCATGACATTATGCTTCCTTACATTGACCTTAAGCACCGATGACCTTGCGTGGACCATCCGGCCTATGCAGACTGTAATTTTTTACCTATGGTTTTTATTTGTTTTATGGGACTTTGTATGAAAAACAACGATGAAAAAACAATTATTGGGGCATCAATCGAATTTTGTAAAGGATGCACAGGAAATGCCGAGGAAATAAATAAAAATCCTGCAGAACAAGCGGCTTAGGTTGTGCCGTCGAAAAAAATTAATATAACACATGCCTAGACATTGTTCCTTATAATAAACTAACCTTGACTGGGATGCAGACGAGAACAAGCAGCAGGTCAGCGGACGAAAGTGACATGAGAAAGATGTTTGTGGTTGACTTCTGCCTCTTGAAGTGTAAGATGGTGCTTATGATGAGAGCGTTCCCCACGACACCCACAACATACGTCACGGCGTACACCAGCAGCACTGGTGCCAGTTCAAACCAATTAGGCCCGACGTCCGCTAAGTTGGAGCACTCGGCGGTCTCAGTGCAGTTCAACTCACTCGAGTTGCCGTCGTCGGAGAAGCCTGAGAACATCGAAGAGTTGTCCTCTGAAGCGAATATTATGCATAAATGTGTCTGGTTGATGCAAACGGTAGAGTGCACATCCTCTTCGAACTCGTCCATTGTGAAAATGAGATAATTTTTCTGTATTTGCAGGAATACAGTTTTCAATGAACTGCTTTGAAAGAGATCCTTATATAGGAACGTACTTTATTTTAGTTAGACTCGCGGCAATATTACACAGAACTTCACTGTCGACTTCGATATAAGCGATCGAGCTAAAAATTTAAGAACGAGCACGTTTTAACATCGGTCCTCACAATGTACATTGCGCAATGACTTCCTTCACTGAAATAAAGATATTTTCACTATTATAGACAAAGTTTTTGTCTTTTTTTCTGCTTCGAACTTGAGGCAATGATTTTCAATCAGGGATAAATGCGATTTCAAGGTTTTGAGGCGTCCACTAAAGTTTAAATTCTTCTGCTCTGATGATGCAGAGCAAACTTGAATATTATTGAACATTGTTTCTACCGTCTCCATTACTTTAACCGTGCTATATAACCTCCATGATCAGAAAGAAGATGATATAAAATTGCATCTTTATACCTTCATACAGCTGAGCGTTACTTTAGTTTGATTTGAAATTATGATTTGGGCGACTGATTGGGAAATCTGAAAATATCAAATCACGAATCGTATAATTTATCTTAAAATTTCCAGAATGCCCACTCATGTCATCAATCCCCAGCATTTGGCTTTCCTCACTATCTCCATATTAACATCAAAATCATTATTATGTTTTATATTTATCAGATACTCATTTGCTTAACCTCGTCTCTCTAGCTTCTTTCGAGTGCTGCGTAACAGTTGATATTTGAACCTTAACCTCGTGTCTAGCTTTTTTCACTAGGCTGATTTACGGACGACTTCATCACTAACCTTCGCTCTAGCGTCCTCGCAGCAATTGTTATTCAACGATTAAACTCATCACCAAGAATGGCTATAAACAGTTCCAGCTATATAGTCAAGGCTGCTGAAGTGTACAAGAAATGATATAAAATTAGCATCCAGAGCTGCGTTTGCATTGAAACGCTGGCATCGGTGGCATGCGCGGCCACATCATCGCCGAGCTCATGAGGATCACAACTTTCGTCATTAACGTCCACCAATATCCTGGCTCTGAATATGAAGCCTACGACTTCTGCGCTTCTGTTTTCGGTGCACACGTGTTGGTTTCTTCTGAATAAGTTGAGCGAAGTGCATTTAAAGCTCAGTACAAATGGTAGATGAGTGATTGCAATCAGTTAATCCACCACTAATTTTGATCAGTGAGTAAAAAAATTTTTTAAGTGTAACAAAACATTGCTTGGGACTTGTTTGCGCAAATAATAATAATTAATAATTGGGTTTTTCGGCACCCGCACAAAAAGGTTAAATGACAAAAAGACGATTGAAGCATTAATTACATTTTGTTCAATTCAATTAATGAAGTGATTCAAGGCCATCAACAGCAAAATCTCCAAAAACTGTTCCTGCAGTAAAAATTGCTAATTAAGAACTAATTTAATAAAACAACGTAAAAATAAGCTAAAATCTGATCGAAATTAATCGCTTTACTGTAATTAGCACGAAATTGACCATCGAAACTTGCATATGAATTCGATTATTTAAATTGATATTAAAAATGAAAAATGTGTCTTATTGAATGTGATACCCTCTGGTTTACGTCGCATTGTTAGAGAATTGAATATTTGATTAGCAGCATTACAGGAAGCAAATGAGGCTCCATCACCCATGTCGAAGCTAGTTATTCGTTTCGAAAAATGAATCACCCCAACCCGACTGGAAAATTTCAGATTTTAATTATTTGGAAACTAGCTCCCTCCCCATTGTACTAAGACACCGAAGAACCTTTGTTATTTTCTCCTAGGGGGAAAGAAGAGAGTGCGATCCTTGTCGGAGGTTCACTGTAGCTACAATGGCGATGCTTTGATTATATAAGAAGATAGGAGCGGACTTTGGACTTATTGGTCCAAAATGAGAATTTATTTAAAAATCCTTAGGATTTATTCAGAAACCACGGCTATAAATTTGAGTATTTTTTCAACCAAAGCTGAAATAAATCGAAAATTTAAAAGCAAATAAATTGGATAAGGATTGCAATTATATTGATTGCATTAGTGTTTTATTTTTACTGAAAATATATCCAAGAACAGTTCCATCATCAGTTTCAAAATTTAATAAAATATGTATCAATAAATAAACAATATGATAAATTTAAATAAATTATAAAAACAATTTTTTCATTTTTTACTGGCCAATTTCGCTTACTTTCTTTGCCGTATTTTTCGGCAGTTTAATCAATATATGATTGATAGCAATTTTATAAACTTCATATTCATGTACTGAATACATTTACTTAAAATCTCACTGATGCATTTACATCTCATACATTTACTTGAAATCTCACTGATGTGCAGTTGATGTTAGCAGAGCAGTTAAAGTGGTTTTGAAGCAGCAACTAAAGAATTGCCGTTCTCCTTGAGTGTCGTTACTTTAATATATACATTTCAGTATTGCAGCAATAATCCGAAGTATTTATGCGATACAAAGTACTGTATCGATTATTTGAAGCATTTCTACATTAGGATTCGAGGTTTAATTACAGTCATGCAAATACGCGTGTGCTGTTCTACGACGTTTGCTGGCTGGTGAGACCCGCGATATTTCTTTCTTGTTGGCTAGACAATGCACGCCGGTAACCGGAAGATCCAATTAATTTTCGTAATTAAGCGAAGTTAATGACAGCCATAATGAGACGTTCTACGTAGAGCTCCCTACACGCAATTATGTATGTGCGTGGGAGATGGCACCTCAGGTGACGATTATCAGATATAGATTAGAATTTTTGGTTAATGACAAGATACTATGAAGTCTGACGTTATTAATCTTATTTGTGGTCTAATATTATTGATTGGAGTTTTCCGGGATACTTTCGTAAGTGTAACGGTTTGCTTTGTTGTACATTTAATTGGGAGAATAAGAGAATAGACGACGTGTAATTTGCATGCAGGATATAACAGCAACAAGTGACACTTTCAACACCCGTTCACACGTTACTGCGGGCTTTCATTCATTAAAGTTCCACTGAAAATTGTAAACTTAGAAGTAAATAAATTTAAATTATAAAGATGATCTGTTAATGCTTTTCCAAAATACACAAACAAATTTCTCGAACTTGACTGACGTAATGCTGCTCGGGTCGGTTTGGCGGCTGTGCAATTTTGCGCAGTTCATGCCTCGCTTGCTTCATCTATCGAACGTAGCAATAAACTGCACTTCTTATGCAAATGAAGCGTGAGAAAGGCAACGTGCCTCTGCATATAACTAGAAATTTTTATCTCCTCATATAAGTATCGGCGATGCGTAAAATAAAAGAACTTAAAGAGATCCTCTCTATAGGCCTCGCAAGTTTTCGGCGCGCTATTGATGCGAAAAAGGTAGAAAAGCACGAGAACAATTCGCTCGTTGAGACGCTCTTGTGAATTTCATCGCAGGGGTTAAGCTCGTGATAGGCTCCTTCCCGATCTTTCAGGGATAAATTTCAGATAAATCGTCTTGGAAGTTATTTTCAGGGAACCAGAGTGAAAATTCAGCATAACTTATATAAAAGTAAATTTAAATTATCCCAAAGTAAGTTTCGTCTCATTTCAAGTAATTGTATGAATATTTCAGTTTTTGTCACTGTATCCTTTTATCCTAGAACAATTCACAGCGAAGGTTGAATCCCAACTTCATCAAAAATTCAAACCATGGATTTTGATAGACAAGCCGAATAAGCCGAATAATCCAATATGGATTTAACGGGTATTTTTTGGGATACCCTCCAAGTGTAGCCATGCGCAGTTCGCACCCATATATAGCGGTTTAATAATATGAAGTTTAAAATCATATGTATCGCTACCATGACTTATTCCTAGAGAATTGCTAAATTTAAACTTCTTTAACTATTTCCTTATGTAATAGGCCTATACTGGACTCCGATTTTTATGGGGTTCTACACCTCTATTGAGCTGGGCCTCGAAGCATTTAAAGTTTGAAAAAGAGAATGAGTCGTGCAGGACAAAGCAAAATTCACGACAAAGTGGCAAAGATTGGAGACTATTGTTGACTAGGATTGTTTTCATCATTTGCGACAGAAATGCGGTTCTACAGCTGCCAGAAGGCTGTGTGGCTGGTAAAACAGAAAGCAGTTTCTGAAAATTAGGCACTCTGCAGCTGAAAGATTGTGATCATAACTCGTGATTTGATCCGTACGATCTGTTCATTATTGTGTCTGAGTAGATTGCGACGCCTCCTGCAGTGATAGCACTTTGTATATGCAGTGCTCTTCGGGTATTTTACGAACTCCATCATTATCTGTTGACAAGGAAATTTTAGTTGGATAGATGGAGTCACGACCTCGAACGAGGCCTGCCCGCAACATATATGTCGACTGAACGTTACGGCATTATTTAGACAGCGACGTATGTAAGTTTACGTAGTGAGGAAGCTTGTGTTTTGTTACGTTACCGCGGGGCATAAGTTATAGGATTGATAAGGAATCGTCAAACCTTTAATAGTCACATAACAAAATTACTTGTATAACTAATGCCATCAAAATAATATGCTTTAACATTTTTACTGTCCTCCACTGCGATATTTACCTCTGAAAATTCGCGCTATACAATAGACTTTAATTGTGGTTAGTATACGTATTAGTGATTCTCCACAACCGCGCCAGGAGTAATAATAATTATTTAAAATATCCTATTGTTAATGACAGCGATTGCGGTGCTCGTATCTATTTGACGTCATCAGAATAAAGACTTCTCAGTTTCCGAAGACATACAATCTGAAAACAGATTGATGACTCCCATGAGACTGATGAAATCAAATATAACAATTTAACATTACGCGAGGCACTAAATTGTTCTCTATGGGACAATTTGGCAAACTTACATGGAATCAAAAGTTATATTTATGTTCATTATAATTAATCCTTTCGAATGCTTGCTGTTTCGTTATCGAGATGAATAAATTTCTATATAAGTTGTCATAAATTTGATATATGATGCTAGTGTCACAAATTCAACCGTCGAGTAGACATGAACTTCCTATTTACATAGTTTAAGTCATTTCAAGCTTATTACGTTCAACTGATGACATGATGATAGATGGACAGCTAAGAGACAAGGCCATTTGTGATTAAAAGGCTTCTTAATATTCCGATTGTCTCTTTAGTTCACAAATTTGCAGGCAATATATAGTCTGTTTGAGCGCAAGTCGTCTAATATGACAAAAGTTGTTGCTTAACCGTCATTAATCATCATGCAATGCGTTGTTCTCAGCAAGGAAACGTTTACTTAATTAATTTTTTTAATTTAACGAAGTCTTTTTTCAACCAAAACCGAACACGCGGTAAAACTACGCAGTGATTTTTCCGATCAAGATCCGTGATTTAATAGTTCGTGGTTAAATGCTCAGAATTCCTGCTGTCAGCACTTAAGCTCCAGTAATTCGTTATAATAGCAGTCGTGAAGACTTTAATTCTCAGCAGCTGAACTCATCGTCAATTCCATTATCGAATTCCGTCTTTGCACGCTTATAA